AGGTCAATCTAAAATGCTCCTAGAGGCACCGACCAAATTCCCCAAAGAGTCTGTTGAAGCTCAGACTGCCCCAACTCTGACCTCTACGGCCTCCTCCTTCCTGCTGCTGGCCCTCGGCATGGATTTCTCAGGGCTCCTTGATGATCCTCAGTGCTCTGGCTCTGGACTGGCAAAAGGCTTTGTGCTCAGTCGCTTAACAATCTATGAAGAAATCAGTGCATTCCCATCTCTTCCCCTGGATTCAACCAGGGCTCCCCAGCGTGGGTTGTCACCACATCTGTGTGATTTGCTGGCACTGGGCAGAGGGGTGGCACAGGGTGGGGGTTGTGAGCTTCAAGTTAAACTTTTCTAGACTAATAAACTGTTCCTCCCATTACAACTCAACTCCCCTCGCCTTCCCCTGCCGGCCCCCCAGGACAGCCCCCGGCCCCCTTCCAGTCTTCCTCTCTCTTTCACTGAGGCTGACATCACACTCACATTTTCCAAAAATTCCCCAAATTACCCAGTCTTAGTTCCTGCTGTCGTCTGGAATTACACATCCCAGACACTGCTCTCACTGTCATTCCCTCCCGCCCTCACCCCGGAGTACTGGGCCTCCCCAGTTCTAGCTCCTGGTGGGCCCCATTTCCCACTGGCTTCCCCCAACTTGGCCTGGGCAGTGAAGCAGCAGAGTGGGTCCAACCCATTCAGGAGCTCTTCTCGCCAGGCCCAGCAAGGAGGAAGATGGCTGGAAGTAAGTCAGGCCCAGCAAGGAGGAGGACGGCTGGAAGTCAGGCAGGCTGTGGGCAGGTTTGTATGAGGAGGTTCGTGCTTTGAAAGGCCCTGTGATGTGGAGAGGGGCAAGATGCTTCTGAAGCCCCAGTCAATGGGATCAGACATCCCATTGTGCAGTGGGAAAAGCACAGGGTTTGGAGTCAGAAGACCTGGGTTCAGGTTCTGGCTGTGCTCTTGTGCCAGTCACAGCCTCCTGAGCCTCAATGTTCTCCCCTGTGTGTTTTTCATAAAAGACCACAGCAGTATTTCCAGTCCCACATGCTCTTCTAGAACCTTGCCACTTTCCATTGAGAAGTGGAGTCTACATTCGCTGCTCTTGAATCTGGACAGGTCTTTGTGACTGTCTCAACAAATAAATGCATCAGAGGTGACTTCACGTGACTGCCTAGGCTAGGTTACAAAACGCACGTGGCTTCCGCTGGCATGCTCTCTCTTTCTTTCGCCACCACCCCAGAATTGGAAATTGCCCATCATACTGTGAGGAAGCCCAGGCTATGCAGAGAGGGTATATATAGGTTCTGGCTGAGGGTCCCAGCTCAAGTCTCAGCCGACAACCAGTATCAACGGCCAGACACATGAAAGTCATCAGATGATTCTGGCCCTCAGTCTTCTACTGGCCCAGCTGATGCTGAACCGAGGAGGGAGAAGGGGCTTCCCCACTGAGCCCTGCCCAAATTGCAGATTTGTGAGCAACACAAATTACTGTCTTAAGGCACTACTTTTTGGGGGGTGGTTTGTTCCACAGCTCCAGATGTCTAGAATAGGATTATGACAGTAATGCTAGGCTTATAATAGTTGTGAGGGCTAATTGAAGATATCCATGTGGAGCCCTATAAGGCACTATATGGCAATCTATCACATTGTCATCATCGTTGCCGTCAAAGCGCTTCGGTGTCCCAAGACATCAACACGTATGTCTATAAAAGTGGCAAGATGGGCTAGATGCTACCCACATATCACTTCATTTAATCCTTACGATTTTCCTGTGGGCCATGACCTCCTCCTCTCTTCTCTAATCCGGCTCAGGCAGGACTGAACTGGTTGTTGCAATAGTTTTTTTTTTTTTTTTTAGATAGAGTCTTGCTCTGTCACCCAGGCTGGAATGCAGTAGCACAATCTCAGCTCACTGCAAGCTCTGCCTCCCGGGTTCATGCCATTCTCCTGCCTCAGCCTCCCAAGTAGCTGGGACTACAGGTGCCTGACACCACGCCTGGCTAATTTTTTGTATTTTTAGTAGAGACAGGGTTTCATTGTGTTAGCCGGGATGGTCTCGATCTCCTGACCTCGTGATCTGCCTGCCTCAGCCTCCTGAAGGGCTGGGATTACAGGTGTGAGTCACCACGCCCGGCCTGTAATAATTAAATTAAGTTTGGTACTATTATTTTCACCAGCTTGCAAATGGAAAAACAGAGACATGGCTAGTTTAAATTCAGGTGGAATGGGAATTTGAATCCAGGTCTGGCTTACTGCTGCATTTTTACTCCTCTTTCTCCAGGAGCCAGGGTTAGGGCTGTACCCTGAAGAAAATGGTGACACGAGGGCATCTCAGAAGGTCCCAAAATGAGAAAATACTTCTGTTTGCTCTATTTAATTTTATTTTGAGGCTGGGCGTGGTGGCTCACACCTGAAATCCCAGCACTTTGGGAGGCTGCAGCAGCTGGATCACCTGAGATCAGGAGTTCAAAACCAGCCTGACCAACATGGCAAAACCCCGTCTCTACTAAAAATACAACAATTGGCCAGGGGTGTTGGCACATGCCTGTAATCCCAGCTACTTGGGAGGCTGAGGCAGGATAGTTGCGTGAACCCTGGATGCAGAGGTCGCAGTGAGCTGAGATCGTGCCATTGCACTCCAGCCTGGGATACAAGAGCAAAACTCCCTCAAAAAAAAAAAAAATTATTTTGACAGACACTGAGCACTTAAAATGAGACAGTGTGTTACGCAGGCCCTGGATGCATAAGACAATGGCCACTTCTTTGAGGAGCTCATAGTTTTGGGGTGGTGGGGAAAACACATACTTTCTAACCATGTAACCTTAGATGAGCTATTCAGGATCTCTAAGTCTCAGATTTGTCATCTGTAAAATGGGGATAATTATAGTACCTACTTCAGAGGGTTGTTGTAAGAATTACATAAATATGCTGGGCACGGTGGCTCACACCTGTAATCCTAGCACTTTGGGAGGCTGAGGTGGGCGGATCACGAGGTCAGGAGTTTGAGACCAGCCTGACCAACATGGTGAAACCCCGTCTCTACTAAGAATACAAAAATTAGCCGGGCATGGTGGCACACACCTGTAATCCCAGCTACTCGGAAGGCTGAGGCAGGATAATCACTTGAACCCAGGAGATGGAGGTTGCAGTGAGCCGAGATCGTACCATTGCACTCCGGCCTGGATGACGTTGAGTGAGACTCTATCTCAAAAAAAAAAAAAAAAAAAAAAAAAATTACATAATATACTCTATTTAAAGCATGGTGTGCATTGAAAGTGCAGGTATAAAAACAAAGATTTGCAATATACTGAGATATATGTCAAAATAAAGGTGGACAAAGTATGATGGAAGGAGAGAGGAGTAATTAATTTGTCCTAGCGGGGAGTGGGGGTAGCAGAGAAGAGGTGAATTTTGTCCTGAGATTTCAAAGGCAAGCAGAAATAGCAGGTGGTCTGTGGAAGAACAGAATTTAGTGTGTCTGGAAAACAGAGCAGACTCTGGGGGTTGGAGCACGAGGCTGAAGTTGGGAGTTGAGGCAGCTTGGGAAGGGGCTGTGTACATCAGGTTGCAGGGCAGGACTCAGGTAAGAGTCTCCCAGCCAGGCTTAGAGATGAGGCTTTAACTTGCAAACGCCCAGGGGGAGGACTCCAGGCTCTATGGTGCAAAATACTTGGCAGAAGAGGGCTCAGAGGGGAGGTTGATGCCTAAAGAGATACTTTCACCCCTCCCAAAAATCTGCTCAGGGTGGGCCCTACTACTTAGTTCCTCAAGGAATTTCAGGGAAGCCAGATCATCAGAATCTGCACTTGCCAACAAACCACCAATTCCCCTTGCTCGGAAATATCCCAGAAATCTCATCCATCTCTGACCAGTGAATGTCTATTTGGGGAAATTCAAAATCCTGAGGGTCAACAATGGGCTTCCTAGCTAGTGCATCTGATCCCAGAAAGAAGTCTCCACAGGAGCCTTGGGCAGGCTCTGGGCTCTGTGTGTGCAAACAGCTGCTTTGGTTTAAATATTAATAATGCAAAATGAAATGTGTGGGGTGCCCGGCGCACCAGAGCCCAGCCAGTGTGCATTGATCTAATGTCCTCTGCACTTGGGTTTGGAAAAATGTGGTCAGTGAATTTAATATACTTTTTGGCAAAGGGAAGATGACAGTTCACTTCTCTCCCCAGCCTCGCTAATGTGGGTTTTCTCCCTGCAAAGCAGAGGATGGAGACTGGTTTTTCCCAGGGTGCCAGCAGGCCTGCTGCCCAGATTCTGTCACAGTCCCTCGGCTCTGCCACCTTGACACTGGCAGTGGGCTCTGGGGGCCACAGAGCATCCCACGGAGGGGGAATCTGAGAAGTAGCTAGACTTGTTCAGGATCCAGCAGGGCCTGGGTGGGGCTGAAATCCTAGTTCCTGCTGGCTCGGGCTCCTCCCTCCAGAATATTCTCTCCCCATTTCGTGCCTGCTTCTTGGATCGCCCCTTCCTGCTGTTCATTAGTGGAGCTCACAGGCAGAAGGTTGGTGCCCCTGGGTTCTCTGTCACAGGGCCTCTGAGATTGGACAAATGAATCAAGGTCTCCACAGCCCTCATGTCAGACCCTAAGTACTTTGCCTCCCTCAATCCCACTGCATTTGTTAACCCTGGGGAAGTTCTGACTTGGCTGCTGTGAACAGTTTCCCCTCCATTCCTCCTACACCAGCCATCGCCACAGACTGTGGCCTCTTCCTCTTCTCCAACATCCCAGGCCCTGGAGTCTCTCTTGCCAAATGCCACAAGTCTCAACGGGCTTCTTGAGAAGCTCATAAATGCTTGGTGACATCACAGTCCCCAAGTTGGGGAGCAAGTGTGCATCAGAGGCCAACATTTCTGAGGAGGAGAAGTCACAGACTCTGCGATTGCCTAACAAAGGCACCCTGTGTGAGCGTGGTCACAGTACCACTGTTGCTGCCATCACAGAACTGGAACCGAGCTGGCCAGGGCTTCCCCAAAGTCTATCTCTGGTTTTATACAACCCGATAATGTTCCCGGCTAAAGGCCTGAGCAGATCATCCTGCAGTGAGGGCCAGGAGGCCTTGCTGGTGGCCCACTCTGTGGGGGTCCCCCAGGCTGGTGGGAGAAAACAGTCACCCCAGGGCCCGTCAGGGGTGAGCAGTGGACAGGAGGCAGCGGAGAAGCAGCCGTGCCCGGGGCGGGTGGAAGCTACACTCACCCAGCTCTGGGGCTCCAGCTGTGCCCCAGGCTCCAGCTCCCCTACCCACCCCCCTTGGCGTCCGGCCCTTGGGGAAGCTGAGAGAAAGTCTCGCCTGTTCTGGATGCCCCAGGCAGGATCGGCCACAGTGATCTCCTTCATGTGTCACCGCTGGCTGTAAGCGCTGTGTTTGGTTTGGCAAAACAGCTATTTAAATAGCAGTGAAATGTGTCACTGGAAAAAAAATTAGCTCATGTTTCCTTTGCCATTTCTTCATGATTTCCATTAAAAGTGTAACCACGGGTAATAAATTAACAAGATCTGTAAAAGTAACCATAGGAAACCATGGATCCAGAATTCCTATAAACTTCTAACCCATGGAGCTAAAAAGCAAGGCTACTTGGGGGAAGGGGAATTGGATCACCCATACTTCAGTTTTCTTTGTGTCTGATTCCTATGCCTTGCCCCTCCCAGCCCCCCAAAATATGGAAGGAAAGCCTCCACTTCTTTCAGGGGTTGTTGTGGTTATCAGAGGTAAAATTTGTCACTTGGAAGCCCCAAAGCCTGGAGGCATTGCTTGACAGTTACTGTTTCGTAAAAAAAAGCAAGAAAAACAAAACAAAAATGCTACCTCCCTCCCAAAATATAATCCTCTTTCTCCACGTTGTGTCTGACCCGGTCCTAACCAGAGTCCAGTTATTGAATTCTCAACTCTCTGTGGCAATCAGCCCCTTTCCCAGGGTGCTTGATGCCAGATTGCAGCTCAGTGTTGCAGACAGGAACACTGAGGTCAAAGGAAAATATTTGCCTTTGACACAAAGTCCAGTAATCAATGGATGCATGAGAAGCTGCAATCCTCACCACTGCTGCCATCCCCACTCTCTCTCCTCTGTCTCCCCTTTCTCTCTGTCTCCCTCTGTCTCCACAATGCTTGGTGCTGGGCTGGCACACAGGATCACAGTACGGACCTGAGAGTCTTTCTGCAGATAGTAGGGTAAAATAGCTGCCACCAAGGAAGGTGGCCCTGAGGAATGTGTTTGTTGTGACAGACCGTGGAGGACCCAGGGGAACGTAACTGTTCCTTGGCTCCCCATTGAGTGTGGGAGCAGTGCCTTACCCAAGGGTTGGGAGCTTGGGGGACAGGACTGGAGGGCGTGTTAGTGTTGCATCCAAGACTGAGAAAGGGCAGACGACCAGGAGAGCATGTCCAGTGTTACACCCAGGGCTAGAGGAGTGAGGGAGAGGACTGGAGGACTGTGTTTAATGCCACGCCCAGAGGCTGGGGGAGTAAGGAACAGGACTAGGAGTGTGTTTAGCATTATACCTAGAGGCTGGGGAGGTAGGGGTCATGACTGAGTGTGTTCAGTGTTACACAGAGACTAGGGGATGGGTGAGAAGACTGGGGGTGTGTGTTCAGTGTCACACAGGACTTGGGGAGAGGGGACAGGACTGGGAGTGTGTTGAGTGTTACACCCAGCGACTAGGGAAGTGGGGGACAGGATTGGAGAGTGTCAGTGCACCCGGGGTTTGAGGAGTAGAGGAGAGACCTGGGGGAGTGTGAGTGTCACACACAGAGCTGGGGGAGCAGGGAAGAGGATCAGGACTGCACTGGGGGAGTATGTTAGTGGGCCACATAGAGTCAGGATAGAGGGGCTGGCAGGAGTGAAGGGAAGGCAAATGGAAACCAATTCATCTGTTTTTACCTCTGGTTCTCTGTGGCTATTATCACTCTGTTCTTCATGGTCTGTTGTCCCCCTGTCCTTCCTCAATTATCCCTTTCATGAACCTCTCAACCCACCTTTGTTAGTCAAATGTGATGCATCCCTTTGTCTCCTGAGAAAGTGGAAGTGTGTGCTGTTTTTGAAACCCCAGGTCATCCAAGCCCCCAGGACATCCTCTCTTTCTGGAGCCCAACTCCTCTTGCACAGGAGACCCTGGGTGAAGATGGAGATTTGTGCAGGCCACGTCTTGTTTCTTTTCCTGGAAGGCAGTGGTGTGGAATGTGGAGGCTCAGGAAACTCTTCGTCACAATGAAATTAGAGAGGGATTTGAAATCAACGCCTTCCTCCACTGATTTGCACTGGCATCTCCTTCTTTTGCTCCCAATTCCTGAACCTTTCATTCTGTCCACACAGACACCATCCTCCATTGTCAGTTTCACCAGCATCTTTTCCCTACGAGTATCTGGCTTTCTTCACTCATCCCTGTCTATGACACCCAAGGGACTAGCTCCTTGATAAGGTCAAGGGTAGGCAGCCCTCCCAAACTCCCTCTGGGAACTTGGACTCTGGTGTCCTAGTTCCCAGAGGGAGCCCTTCCCTTTCAACCCCAGGCTGAGGGCACTGCTAAGGCACCTGCTGTAATAAAAGAGAAACATCTGCTTGTTTTGTTTACATTTCATCCAGATGTTTGGGTGCCATATAGATGCAGCCTGTGGGTTGTCTGAATGCTGTGACTGGAAACTGAGCTTCCCTCTGCTTGGAGCTGGGAGGCAGACAGGGAGGGACTTTGAACTGAGAAGGAAACGGGGCTGGACTGTAGACCCTGAGTAGGGATGGGGTGGGGGAAGGGCGGGAAGGCGAGACAAGGAACATGGGGAGGATTGCAGCCCAGCTGTGGCAACAAGTAGAAGGAGATTGCTTATAAACATTGGATCTGTTTACAAAGCCACCAGTGGAGGTGAGCACTTGCCAAGCCTTGATTTTGAAAAACTGCCCTCTAATGTTTTCCAGCACTTCCCAGATACTGAGTGAGGGCCTACTGTGTGCTCTGCGGGTGTCTCTTGCACCCCTGACCCACTGTTCTCTGCACATCCTGGTTCATGGTTGGGAAGCAAAGAAAAGCAGCTCCAGGGCCTCTAGCCCAGAGCCCAATTAACAATGCCTGGCAGTACGCATAAATCACCACACTCCCCCTTTTCCTGGGCTCGGGGCTGGAAAGTATCAGAACTGTGCAAATACTTGGGATGTTTCTCTTTATTAGTGATAAAATATTGGACGTCAGCGTGCGCCATTTCATGCCCTGCCTCCGACAGTTGGAGCAGTAATTGTGATGAATAGGGGCCTAGGGGCAGGGCTGCAGGCGTTTAAGAAGGCTCTGTGGATTGAAAATATTAGGATTGATTAAAGGTCAAATACTTTATGAATTTATCAGTGCTAGATACATTCTCCCAGGTGGGGGCTACCCTTCCAGGCAGTTTAAAAAAGAACTCAATATGGTTGAACGCTCTCCTGCCCCTTCCCTTCTGTCCCACCATGTTTAACCTACAAAACTGATTCAACAAGCAGACCTTTTCCTGTAATTTGTGTGCCCTTTCGCTTCTCCTGCCAGGAGACCAGTTCAGCACAGACATCTTTGGGAGGAGTCTGCCCATTTCTCACTGGAGAAAAAAGAAAACCTTCCCTGGGATTGAATCGGTGGAGATAGAAGCTGGTGGAGACTTCCAGACTGCTCTGAGTTGAGCGTAGAGCCTCCCAGGGACATTATCGGAAATGGTTGTTACCCACCCAGGGAGCACACATGGCAAAAAGGGGGTCTGGGCTGATTCTGTCTTTCCCAAAAGGACTTTCTGATTTCCTGTTATTTGATAAAGAGATCTTTGTAACTCCTTGACTGCTGGGAAGCTCAGAGTAAAATTCCATGTTTCATCACCATAGCAGACTTCTCCTCCTTATGATAAGGGTCATCTATTGAACAACTGTGTATTGAAGCAGGAATCATTCTAGTGCTAGGGATGAAGTGGGGAACAAAATAGATGAAAAGCCCTGCCCCATGGAGCTTATATTCAAGGGAGGAGAGAGAAAATAAAATAAATTGTATCAATTGTATATACATAATAATCAATGCTAACGAGAAAAATAAAGCAGAGGAGGATAGGGAGCAGGAGGGCAGTGAGAGGAGATTGACATTTTGGAAATGATCAAGGAGGGCCTCTCTGAGACCTGGAGGAGGTGAGGGTGTGAGCTGGGCAGTTATTGGGAGGAAGAGTGTCTGTACATTTGTTTTAATTGTGCTAGCACCTAAGTATTTCAGTATTGGTTGTCCTCACCCTTTTCGGAATTTGGTGTGGTATAAATAAAAACATGTGCAGAAAACGAATGAGGAAAAATAGAACCTGCTCAGTGAAAGAGATTTCCAACACCCTAGACTAATAGTTTGCATCAGAATCACCTGGAGGGCTTGTTAAAACAAAAATTGCTGGGCTCTACCCCAGAATGTCTAATTCAGTGGTAGTCTGAGAATTTGCAATTCTAGCAAGTTCCCAGGTGATGCGGTTGCGTCGCTGCTGATCCAGGAACCACAATTTGACAACCAGTGCCCTAAACCAACTGTGCATGCTCGCAGGTGAGGCTTCCTAGGAGAAGTAAACTTGGGAAGAAGGGTAAAGAGTAATTTTTCAATCTCATTCTTTAAAAACAAGAAACAAGAAACGGTAGATATGAAGTTAGATTGTGGGCGAAACTACAGGTAGGTGGGGAATGGGCCAGTTGGTTGAAGTTGAAGCTGACATTTCCCCTTCCTCCCTCCAACATCCTGGGCGGGGGCAGAGAAAAAATAGCCAGCAGAGAAAGGAAGAACACCTGTACCTGGGCAGGCGTGTTGGCCAGCTCAAGACTTGGGAACTGGAAGACAGGGAGGCAGAAGTTAGCGACGTGTTCCTCCCCCTAGACCAAGCCTCAGGAAGCTCTGCCGGTGAGGGACACACACACATATGCATTTCCAAGGGCAGCTTTTCCCAAAGGTACTTCATGCAACACTGCTACCAAGGGATACCCATCGATGTCACCAAAAGAGGATTCTTTTGGGAAACATGTTTAGATCACACTGAGTTAAACAATTTTCTTTAGGGCAGGACTTCTCAGGCCCTCTAATATGTGAAGTACACTATGAATCTCCCCAGACGAGGATCTAGTATCCAGTGTTTCATAAACCTTTTGGCTACACAATCATCTTTACTTTTTCATTTTACAAGACCAGTGTACAATGGGATATGCTTTGGAAAACACTGCTCTTAGGACTAAGTGGTCTCCTTTACACCACACCAATGGGTAAAATGATGAAACCCCCACACAGCCAAGAACTCTGCAAGCATCTTCAGCAGACATGCAATCAGTCCTTAGTTTTCTCAAAGACTTCTAGTTGAGTTAGAAGGGTCCCTAACTCTGCCCAGGGTTCAG